CTTGCAACTCAGCTGTCCTTTTCCAGCCACTGGGACCATATTGTGGAAATATGAAACAAGTACATTCTGAAGTCTTGGAATTTAAACAGAAAGAACTAGTTCTGTTGGCATACCTATTTCTTGGTTTGCTACTTTCAAAGTAGAAACAGTTTCAAATGAAGATCTTTATTATTTTTGTTTATTGGTTTGTATCTTTCCTTACAGTATTCTTGAGAATATACCTTCCCTCTTGGTCTTTAATAAGTTTTAATGCAGCATAGAGATTTGAATAGTTAGAGTGAAAATGTGATCATCTGAATGCCCATCTATCTAGTTGTGAGTGATCTTTCATGTTAGTCCCCAGAGATGTGTCATACCTCAAAATTTCACCTCTGAGCTACATACAATCATACAATCACCTCTGAAACCTGTGATCTGTAGCAGGAACAGTGAGCAGTTGCTCAGCACACTGCTGCTTCTGCCAAAGTTTACTGTATTAAATTTGTTCTAGTCATCAATAAACAACAGTTCTGCTGTGCTCTGTGTCCTAGTTAGAACAGCTGGGACCAATTCATCACTGGATGGGTGTAACCCAAACCTGTGTATTCTATAGCCTTCCATGCCATTTCCCAGAAACTGTTATCAATAGAGCATTTACACCCTCTGCCCAGAGCAGCCTGACTCCTCAGGTTATAACCTAGGCATTAAGAGGCCTGCGAGATAGGAAGATGTTCCTGTCCTCATGCCCTTTTATGGAACTCCCCGCTCTGAGGGAAGGACTGAGCATTCCTGCCTGAACTGGAGAATATATAAACTTGGGGTTTTGGAACCTTTTTACCACTCGTGGGATCCAGAGGAAGACTGCAGCTCACCGCTCTCAACCAGACTGTAGCTCACTGCTCTCAACCAGACTGCAGCTCACCGCTCTCAACCAGACTGAGACCACCACCCTCGACTGGACTGCAATCACCACTTTTTGACCACACTGCAACAGCTCTCCCACCAGCAGGTTTTTCCCCTCCCCCTTTACTTTGGACTCAGGGTGGGGGGGCCAAGGAACACCACTTTTGTTCATGCCCCAGGGTGCTGGGTTATACATTTGGGTTTTGTGGGTTAAAACCAATTGTCTGTCTGTATAATCGTACTTATTGTATCATTTTAATAAATTGTTATTCTGACTTATAATCTCTCTTTTGAGTTGAGTTCATTTCCCCTGCTGGTTAACTTTTAAACCAGCACACTCTGACAAACACGAGTTGTCAGAATATTGTAATTCGCAATTAATAATGCATTTACCTAAATCTAAAAAGAGGCGAGAGAACAACAGGAGAGCAGCTGTGTCACTTGTTTCAGAGCACATATCTACAGTATGTCAGTAAGGCCACAGAATCACTGAAGCAGCATTTATATTGGACAGAAGCAACCAGATTATTTTAGAGCCAGCTAGAGGATTTGACTATACAGCTTTTACTAGGCTTCATGAGTGTTTTTATCCAGATCTTAGGTTCTTTTGGGAAAAAAATATCCACAAGCTTACTGATGTGCTGATTTTGGCTGGGGTACATTTAGCTTTCTTCACAGTACCTAGTATGGGGCTGAGCAGTGCTTGCACAGCATCAAGGCCTTTTCTGCTTCTTATACTGCTCTGCCAGTTATTAGGCTGGGGGTGCACAAGAAGTTGGGAGGAGACACAGCTCTGACATCTGACCCCAACTGACCAAAGGGATATTCTATACCATATGGCATCATGCTCAGTGTATAAAGACAGGGGAAGAAGAAGGAAAGGAGGGGGACATGGAGTTATGGCATTTGTATTGCCAAATAATTGTTATGCATGATGGAGCCCTGCTTTCCTGGAAATGACTGAACAGTTGCTTGCCCCTGGAAAGTAGCAAATTAATTCCTTGTTTTGCTTTGCTTGTGTGCACAGTTTTTGCTTTCTCTGGTAAACTGTCTTTATCTCAACCCATGAGTTTTCTAACTTGTACCCTTCTGATTCTCTCTCCGATCCTGCTGGTAGGGGAACAAGTCCTTTTTGGCGCCCAACTTGGGGATGAAAGGGTTCAAGATAATGACAGATTTGACTGGAATGTGCTAGGTCAAAGTTGTAGCTGTTTATTCTTGGCAGGCTCCTGTGTTTGCCATGGGCTTGCTTGCCTGACTGTATATTAGAGTCTAGTAATCATCGGTGGCTGCTTTTTGCTTTCACTGCTGATGTACTGCTTATCACCTCATTGTATTGTGCCTAGGAACATTTTGATAACAGCCATGGTGATGTGCCTGGGCTGGCAAATGGCCAGGGCATTGCTGCTGTTCCTGTGCTGCTGTACTGGACAGGCTGGAACTTCAGTGTGAACTTGAGTCGAAGGGACTGTGACCTGTGGATGAGTACATGCAGGAGCAGAGATCCACCTGCCACCTGTGGAGGAGCCTCACACTGGAGCATGTGGATACCCAAAGAAGGCTGTGATCCCATGAGAAGCCAGCACTGGAGCAGGCTCCTGGCAGGACCTATGGAGAGAAGAGCCCATACTGGAGCAGGTTTGCTGGCAGGATTTGTGAACCCATGACGGACCCACACTGGAGCAGTTTGTGAAGAACTGCAGCCCATGGGAAGGACCCACATTGGAGAAGTTCAAAGAGGACTGTCTCCTGTGGGAGGGACCCCACGCTGGAGCAGGGGAAGCAGAGATTCCCTTGCAGCTCATGGTGAGGCAGCTGTGCCCCTGCAGCTATGGAGGACTATGATGTGACTATACTAATGGGGGACTCTAGTAGGAACCCCTTGTTGCATCCAGGGGAGGAGTTCAATGCAATGTTGAACCCTATATCCCATCCTAAAAGGACCAGGGGTGGAGATTGTAATGGATATACCTTTAAATTGTTGTCAGCCACGATTTGAGTTGTATGTTACAGGAATTACTATAACAGGAACCACCCAAACCAATGGAGGAGAAGCCTTACAAGCAGCATTGCAAGTACAGCAGTGACCCGACCTGAGCTGGACGTGGTGCCCACTAACTCCAAGCAACACACCACCTCTCCTGTCCTGAGTGACCACCAGAACACGTGGAGCTAAAGTCATGGACTAAATGAACTCAAAGGACATTTTGTGGACATTTTTCAAGGGTGGTCCATAGACTAAGGGAATGATATCTGTGTATTATATCAAGGAATGGAAATGGGGGGGGTGGTTAATGAAGTTGTATTGGATAGTGTAGGACCTGCACACGATGTAAATGGTATGGAATAAGGGGTGGAATGTGCTGGTTTGGGCTGGGATAGAGTTAATTTTCTTCACAGGAGCTAGTATGTACTAGTATGTTTTGGATTTGTGCAGAAAACAATGTCTATAACATAGAAATGTTTTTGTTATTGCTGAGTAGAGGTTGCACGACATCAAGGCCTTTTCTGCTTCTTGTACTGCCATGCTGAGGAGGGGACTGGGGGTGCATGGGAGGTTGGGAGGAGACACAGATAGGTCTTTATATACTGAGCATGATGCCATATGGTCTGGAATATCCCTTTGATCAGTTGGGGTCACCTGTCCCAGCTGTGTCTCCTCCCAGCCTCCCATGCACCCCCAGCCCCCTCCTCAGCATAGCAGTACAGAAAGTAGAAAAGGCCTTGGCTCTGTGCAAGCCCTGCTCAGCAATAACAAAAACATCTCTATATTATCAATCCCGTGTTCAGCACAAATCCAAAACACAGCCCAATACCAGCCACTGGGAAGAAAATTAACTCTACCCCACCCAAAACCAGGGCATCAGTATATAAAAACAGGGGAAGAAGGAGGAAAGTGGGGGACATGTGGAGTTATGGCATTTGTCTTCACAAGTCACGATTGCACATGATGGGGCCTTGCTCTCCTGCAGATGGTTGAACACCTGCCTGCCCATGGGAAGTAGCAAATGAATTCCTTGTTTTGCTTTGCTTGTCCGCACGGTTTTTGCTTTCCCTAATTAACTGTCTTTATCTCAACCCATGACTTTTCTAACTTGAACCCTTCTGATTCTCTCCCTGATCCCGCTGATAGGGGAGTGAGCAAGCAGCTGTGTGAGGCTTGGTTACTGGCTAGGGTTAAATCACAACACTTACTCAAATTTCTGCTCTTATTCACAAAGACAATAACTGGCATGAAGTTAAGTGTCCCCAAAGTAATTTTGGAACTCGCTACAAGTCAGAAAATGAAACATCAGACTCCTGTCTCAGAGCTGTACAGCCACCAACTGTAGCATTAGTGATCCAAGATGATCCTCAAGACTGCTTTTGGTATCCACAAAGCAATCCTTCCTCCCTCCTTTACAAGGAAGAGGATAAATACCAGGTTTCAGACCACCATCATTTTCATCCTTTTAAAAGGTTATATTTTGAAAGTACCTCAGGAAGAAAATAAATAAATTAAATGTTAAAAAACAACAACAACAAAAAAACCCACACACACACAAAAACCAAAAGACAATTCTTTCACTCCAGGTCAAGTGTAAGCACTTTTTCTCCCCTGAATGACACAGCACATGTGTTTCTTTAATCTGTGATTGCTTCTATTCCTTGAAAAGCCTGCATTTCCCATTATTTCCAGCAAACATATAAGCAAGCCAAGGAACAAATCTAGTAGATATTTAATTCAAAACCTAAGACCAGTTCAGAATCTTATATATCTCAGTTGGATAAGACAAAACGCTGGACTGTACAAAGATCTCATATGCTTAGCTGCTTAGCTCAATAGTGTGCAACTATGAACAAGTACCAAAAAGCTGAAAGAAAAGTCACCAGAATTGGTCTAAAAATATCAGATATGGGGGAACTTGCAGAGTAATAATCTGAGGTTCAGAACTGCCAACATGAAGACCTGTTTAACTGATCAATTTGCAACATAAATGAAGAGGAACTACCACATGTGATCTACACATCTCTCCCATTAAATGAACCTAAAACCACAGGACAGTTTAGAAGCAACATCTGCCTCTGCACCTCCACATCTCCCCAGCAACCCCAATTCTAATCCACTGCATGTTTACCATAGTTGTTGTGCTTTGAGATGATTCTTCTTCTGTACAAACTGTTGATGCAGCCAGGGAAGGTAGCCTGGATGAAGAGGATAATGTTGATGTCTCCATGCCACTGTCCTCATTTACAGCAGAAAGACCAACCAGATGGTGTCCATTCAATTCATTGGCTTTATTCTGAGTGCAGGTCTGCAAAGAACTGAGCAAAGCACCATTGCAGAGACAGGTAGTGTTGTGGAAAGTGCTCATGAGCTTTGATGATTTTTGATCACTCTCATCAGAGTCAAGTTTAGGAAAGGACAGGGATTTGATGTTGCTCGCTGAAGTGATAGGGGACGGGGACACTTTGGTAGACAAGGACATCTTTTCACAGTTTCCCAACTGTGGTAAAGTGATAAAGCCATTGGGTTTGTGAAGGGGTTTGAAGTCCAGCGTAGCCCTTTCTATGGATGTCAGAACTTTCTCATCTTGCAACACAGACTCTCCTTTGGGCAAAGTATTATCTAATAGCTGGGCAACAATTGGCCCAGTAGTACCAACATGAATTTCAAGAATATTTTTTAATTCCTCCTTATCATTGATAGTTTTTAATTCCAGTTTGTCAAAGGGGTCTTCTTCACATTCAAAATCAGCTGGGTTGAAGTCTGCTTTTGGATGAGGTGGACTGAGAACCTTTTGCTTCACAGCACTGCTGTTGGCTGGCGTGGGAGTAAGAATATTATTGTGCTGCAGGCTAGCAAGGATGGGGTTAATAGGAGGAGGCATGACTTTAGGGCAAGGTCCCTCTGAGAATGCCAATTTGGTGATGTCCTCTGGAGCCACTTTTGAGTCTGCTAGCACTTCTTCTGCCTTGTGTTCAGCTTCTCTCTGGGCAGCTTCAATTTTTTTGATATCTTCAGCCCACTCAATTGTTTTCTTTTCCAGTGAGAAGTCATACTGGCCAGGGGTGAAGGGGAAAGGAAAGGAGAAAAAAGATAAATTATAAGGATCATAGTCACTACTTCTAACAGCAACATAAGTAACGTAGAATAAGAGTTACATGAATTACAATGTGTAGTGGGTTTCTGTGGCTGGGTTTTGGGAGCGGGGGGGCTACAGGGGTGGCTTCTGTTAGAAGCTGCTAGAAGCTTCCCCTGTATGGTGGAGCCAATGCCAGTCAGCTCCAGGACGGACTTCCTGCTGCTGGCCAAGGCTGAGCCAATCAAGAGTGATAGTAACGCCTCCGTGATAACATATTTAAGAACAGAAAGGTATTGTGCTGAAAGAATTCCAGCCAGGGAAGAGTGGAGTGAGAACATGGGAACAACAAAGTAGACACCAAGGTCAGTGCAGAAGGAGGGGCAGGAGTGCTCCAGGCGCCAGAGCTGTGGCCCCCTGCGGCCCGTGGTGCAGACCATGGTGAAGCAGCTGTGCCCCTGCAGCCCATGGAGGACCATCAGGGTGCAGAGACCCACCTGCAGCCCATGGAGGAGCCCATGCTGGAGCAGGTGGATGCATGAAGGAGGCTGTGGCCCCGTGGGAGGCCCAAGATGGAGCAGGGTCCTGCCAGAGACCTGCAGCCCATGGAGAGGGAGGCCCACGCTGGAGCAGGTTTTTCCCGGGTAGGACTTGTGGCCCCTGTGGGGGACCCACGTCGGTACAGCTCATTCATGAAGGACTGCACCCCATGGAGGAGTGACCCATGGGACAGCAGTTTGGGAAGAGCTGCTGCCCGAGGGATGGACTCACACCAGAGAGGTCCATCAAGGACTGTCTCCCATGGGAGGGACCCCACGGGAGCAGGGGAAGGACTCCTCTCCCTGAGCAGTGGCAGAAAAAACAACTGACCATAACCCCCATTCCCCATCCCCCTGCACTGCTGGGGGGGAGGAGAGAGAACATGGAAGGAAGGAGGGGTGGTGGGAAGGTGTTTTTAAGACTGTTTTATTTCTCTCTCTTTGCCTCTTATCCTGTTAGTAATAAATTTAAGTACTATCCCCACTTTGAGTCTGTTTTGCCTGTGAAGGTAATCAGTCACTGACCTCTCCCAGCTCTTATCTCAACTCATGAATCTTTAGCTGTTTTTTTTTCTCTCCTCTGTCCAGTTGCAGAGGGAGAGTGAGAGAGTGGCTTTAGTGGGTACCTGGCATCCGGCCAGGCTCAACCCACTACACCATGGACAGGCATCAATTTTTCCCAGCATATCTTGTCTGTAGGTTTACAGACTGGCAAAACTAAAAGACCTCAGAAGTAGTTCCTTTAGTCTCTAGCACCAAACTCTGTCTGTAGTCTGGATTAGAATATCATATTTTGCCTCCTTCCTACATTTAGTTTTGCTATAGAGCTACTGATCATCCCAAGATCAGTTTCACAGCCCTCCCACCTTCTCCCCCCAAGACAACAGATATAGCAAGGGCAAGTCTACTAGATAGACAATCATACCCAGATTTGGCACCACTGAACTACCTTCTGTCCACAAGTTCCACAAGTCATTCAAGACTACAGCAGAGTATTTTTGCATCCAAAGAACAATACAATATTACTCAGTTACCCCTAAAATATTTCTAAGGGACTTGATATTATAGTTTTATACCCACTAGTTTAAGAGGTATTCTTACTCCAGTGCCAGTGGCTCACCAGTCAAAGGGGATATACTGGCTACAGTGATGATGACAACTACCTGCAGTAGCAAAATTTGCTGCAGTTACTGGCATGACAGGATCTCACAAACTTTTCTCATTTAACATCAGCTCCTTCAGGGACAGGTTAGCACAGGAAGCCATTTGTAAGGTACTCACTACCAGTTTACTGGTCACAGTAGCGGCCTGGTTGAGAGGACAAAATTCTGAACAGACAAAATCTACTTAAAGCTTTAATATCTTAATAAGAATGAACAGCCTCAAATGCTCTTTAAATAACCACAAAATGTTCAGAGAACACAGGCTACAAGCTAAGTCTAAGGCATAACCTACCTGTGATTCACAAGAAGTCATAAAATACCCTTGCCAGGATAATGGCACATAACCGAACAGGAGTGCTCTTACCATGGGACTGCTAGGTCATACAAATTCCTATCTCTAAAGAGCAACAAACCAGCAAGGCTTGCTAGGCCTCTACTAAGCTTTTCTGGGACTCACTATGTGTTGCGCCACATCCTATCCTATAGCAGGCTCCAGTGGGATCATAGAGACCTGTTGTCTCAACTGCATAAAAGTTTTCCATTCCCTTAGCTCTAAGACTCCAAGAAGTGTGTTACTCAATTTATCAGCAAGGCAATTTTGAAAAACAAATCACTGGCAGAAGTGCTGAGCACTACTCGTTACACATTCTTTGTTGTCTGAGCAGAGCTATCAGGGTTTTTGTGTGTATGTGTGTATATGGTTATATACATAGACCAAAACTGACCAAATATTTTTTTATATTAAAAAAGGGGGTATTTATATAAAAATATATGGCTTTGGGCAATTTTGCTTCCCTGCACTTTTATTTTTTTAACAGTTCTCACTACAGCTGTAAAAAAAGTCAAATTGCACTGCAAGATGCATACTCTACATAGTCACATCCTATTATGCAGGGTGCTGCAGTCCAATTGGGCATACTATACGTGAGCCTCAGCTTGGCAGGAAAATAGAGACTTAGCACAATGAAGCCAGCAATAGGACATTAGTCTCCTTTAGCTCTCCCACACCACCTTAACTGGGTGGAAATATTTGTATTAGGACAATTGGGTAATCATTTAATGGTTATAATGAAAAAGCCATGATGTAGGGTAATTGAGATAGTCAGCTCTCCAGTGGATGAGTTGCAGGGCAGAAAAAAAAAGATAAAAAAAGAACCATCTGTCACAACTGAAATTAAAACAATCATCAGTTTGGACTGACCAAGGAAAATCATGGATCCAAACAAGAAAACATAGTTCAATTAGACTTCTTGTATCACAGCCTGCATTTGGAGATTAGATTTTCAACATATACACTAAAGCAATTGATTTTATACTACTATGAGTTTATTATAACAGAGACATGCTCCTCAAAGACCTGGAAGCCATCCATGTACCAAGCTGTAACCTGTTTGCCCTACAGCTGGAAAAGAATTCCCACTCAGAACTGCACAGAAAACAAGAACTGAAAATTTATTTCTTCCTCCCACTATTGTGAGAACACATAAAATATGGTCATAGAAACACTTGTTACCCTCAAACAAGATTCTGCAAGCATGCCATAGCATGGGTATATCAGTTCTTAGCATTTTTCCTCTTAAAAATGCTACTCAAATTTAATCAATCATGGCTAGGCTTCGCGAACGAAGATTTGGGAAGGGCTCTACCCATTTTTCATGCAAGCGCGTTGGTGGCTAAAAAGGCCAATACGAGAAAGGCAAGTCCGGTTGCAAAAGACACAGCAGAAAGACTCCTTAGATGGTATATTCTGCAAGGTTCGATTCTTTCTGCGTTGTCTTTTCTCCTCAAGAGTGATCCTGCGTGCCTTCTCAAAAGCATCAGCAGCGTTATAAATGGTCTGTCTCCAGGCCTCCCGATTAGAGGCCAGAGTGGACCAGTTATGGTGATCAATATGCCCGAGGCTGAGTTGTTGCTTCAGGGAGTCCTTGTATCTTTTCTTTGGAGCTCCTCTCTTGCGGCAGCCAGTGGCAAGTTCACCATAGAGCAGGATCTTAGGGAGGCGGTGGTCCTTCATCCTAGAGATGTGCCCTGCCCAACGCAGTTGCGTTCTCAGGAGCATGGCCTCAATACTTGTGATTGCTGCCTGTTCGAGAACAGATGTATTGGTCACATAGTCTGACCAATGGATGTTAAGGATTGTACGGAGGCAGCGTTGATGGAAGCGTTCTAGGAGACGCAGGTGGTGGCGGTAGATGACCCATGATTCGGAACCATATAAAAGAGTAGACAGCACTATGGCTCTGTAAACACTGATCTTGGTGCTTTTCTTCAAGTGTTTATTACGCCAAACTCGTTTATGAAGTTTTCCAAAAGCACTGTATGCCTTCGCTAACCTATTGTCTATCTCCCCATCAATCTTACCATCTGAGGAGATGAGGCTGCCTAGGTAATTAAACTGTTGGACTGAATTGAGTTCTGACTGGCCGATGGTGATGTGGGGACGGTGGGGGACTTCCTGAGGTGCAGGCTGATGGAGAACTTCTGTCTTCTTTAAGCTGACCTCCAGCCCAAAGAGCTCAGCAGCCTCTGCAAAGCAGGATGTTAAACGCTGCAGAGCTGCTTCTGTGTGGGCAACAAGGGCGGCGTCATCAGCATAGAGCAGCTCCCGGACAAGATGGTTTAGGGTCTTAGTGTGGGCCTTCAGTCGCCTTAGGTTGAATAGGCTTCCATCAGTACGATATCGAATGTAGATACCGTCCTGATCATCGAGGTCTGCCGAGGCCCTTTGAAGCATCATACTGAAAAAGACTGTGAATAGGGTAGGAGCGAGAACGCAGCCTTGTTTCACACCATTCTTTATTAGAAAGGGCTCAGAAAGTGTGTTGCCATATCTGACTTGGCCGTGCTGATCCTCATGAAATGAGATGATCATTTTAAGGAACTTGGGGGGACAACCTAAACGTTCCAAAATCTGCCAAAGACCTTTTCTGCTCACAGTATCGAAAGCCTTGGTGAGGTCGACAAAGGTTACATAGAGACCTTTGTTCTGTTCCCTACACTTCTCTTGCAGTTGTCTGAGAACAAATATCATATCTGTGGTGCTCCTGTTGGCTCTGAAGCCACACTGACTTTCAGGTAGAATTTCTTCTGCTATAGCGGGTATTAGTCTGTTCAGGAGTATTCTTGCCAAGATTTTGCCAGCAATGGAGAGCAGAGTAATACCACGGTAATTTGAACAGTCTGATTTAGTACCTTTCTTCTTATACAAGGTGATGATGACTGCATCACGAAGGTCTGAAGGTAGTTCGCCTAGTTCCCAACAGCGCACCACAAGCTC